TGCAGATTGTTTTCCAATGAGCCAATTGCTATTGTTTTCCCAACTCTGGAACCCAAAAATTCTTCCATCCTCAAGTGAGCACTGTTCTTGGGTAGCACAGAGGTGGTGAGAAGTCCTGGCTGATCCAAGGCCCCATTCCACTTGGTGTTGTAACAGGGACACAAGAAAATGTCTGTGGGGGCCTGGGCCCCTCTGTACTAAACTTCTAGTAAGGCTCACTGGCTGGTGAGGTCAGCAGGGGTTCCAGCCATCTAGCTGCTGGCTCTGGAGAAGGTGAGAGAAATAGGCAAATGTGAGTGAAAGGAGAAGGGAAGGTGGAAAACAATGCATCAAAAGCTGAGTCAAAAAAAAAAAAAAAAAAGCTGAGTCCAGAAAAGTTGTCATTTGTTTAAGAAAATGTCACCTCAAATTTGATTCTCACCAAGCCACAGTGGGTCCACACCTCAACTGCAGCTGGGAGCCTTCTTGCTTGGGAGAAAGATAGGGTGAATGTGTCAGGGTGCACCTACCTATTGAGTACTAGTTGGAGCTGTAGAACTGTAAAGGTGCTGTTACAGACTCAAAAGCTTTGGTGGATCCCCAGGGAGCTCAAGAGATACTGGGTCAGAATCAGGCTAGTACTGGTATGGAGTCTGTTGGTTTGTCATAAGCCCCTCCCGTACTCTTCTTCTCTTTTCAGCTATGACTGGAAACCAAGGCACTATTTTTTTAAAAATTTTTTTAGTTTTTTCTTTTTTTTGGTACCAGGCATCGAACTCAGGAGCTCACTCTTGCCAGGTAGACACTGAACCACTGAGTGCCCCCTAAGGCACTATTGCCCATTCCAAGTAGTGCTCAGTTGGCTCAGATAGGAGGATATGGAGTCCATGGAAATGCAGGGGCTGTTCCACCAGGGTAGTGATGTAGGAGTATATACAGCAGGGACTTTGCAAAGACTTCTGACCAAAGGTCCCCTTTGTTATCCCCAATCTTGCCCAAGCCCTGTAGCTCCTCACTGGGGAAACAGGCCTAGAGAGGAAAAGGGGCTAGCCCAAAGTCATACTGAGAATAGGGTAGAACCTGAGCCTCCTTGACCCTATGCTCATTTCCACACCTAGGAAGATGGAGCTTTTGCTTAGGGACACCTTTTATGAAGGATAATGTAGACCCATGTAGTAGTTGCATGAATGAAGCCAGATAGCAATGCCTGATGGATTGGAGCAGTCCTGATGGGCCCCCTGGAAGAGGAGGTAAAGTCTGATTCACCAGAGAGTAGATGAAGAATAGGCTTCTTTTGAGCAGAATGTCATATCTCCCCTTTGTTGAGCCTGCCTGGGGCCTCTGCACTTTTGTCTGATGCATTGAAAAGAGTTTGTTTGCCTCCCTTCCTCAATCTGATGAGGGAGGCAGCAGGGTCCCAGCCTAGCTGGGGAGAGAGCCATGTGATCAGGAACCAGTTATTCCCCCGCACTGTGCCTCAATTTCTCATCAGAAAAATAGTGATAATGAAGTCCTTTCATCCTAATATTTATAATGTACTGTAAACAGAGCCAGGCACATGGAAAGTATAACCTCCCCTTCTTTCTGTATCTGTGTGTGTTTGTTTTAAGAGTTAACAAAGGAACAAGCTAATTGTAGGTTGTGAGTGAGGGCTTTATAGGAGGTAAAAAGGGTGATGACATGGGAGCTTTCTGGGGAGCTGGGAATGTTTCCCATTTTGATGGGGGTGTGAGTCCTAGGATGTGTACAGTTATCAAAGCTCATTGAACTGTGAAACCTGTGCATTTTATTTTAAATATACCTCAATAAACAAACAAAATATATAGAGAAAGAAAAACCAGGGTGAAGGGACCCTTGAGGGGTCCTTTTTTAGACAAGATGGTCAGGGAAGACTTCTGAGAGGAGGTGATATCACGGAGAGTCCTGGCTGTGGGGAAGGAATATGGGGAAACACAGGCTTTATGTTCAGGGTCATTTAGGGGTCAGAAGTAACTGTTCAGGAGATTTCTTGGCACCTGGGCCTGAGCAGGCCTAGGTCCAGGCTTTAGCACTGTGGACTCCTCTGTGGAGGGTGGAGGAAGTATTTAACATGTTTTCTGGGGAAGCCCTCTCCCTGTCCTGTGCCTGTTCTCAGGGCACTGGCACTCGAGAAGGACTATTTAATCCATGTGGGAATGAGTTCTTAAATATGGGTTTTGTAGGGCCCAGGACACAGAGCAGCTGGAACTCAGGGGTGCTTCACCTGCTCTTCCAACTCAGCAAAGCACACATGAAGGTCCAGCTCTGGGGCTTCCTGGTCCTTTCATGCCCCACCTCCTTCCTCCTTTCCTCCCTTCCACACCTGTGTTTGCCTGTGAAGGCTCAGCCAGGGACACCCCCCACCCCCAGGTTTAGCCAACCTGCCTTTGCCCTCTCACTTCTCCCAGCTTCACTGGAGGAACAGAGGCAAAAACTTAGGAGAAGTGGCAGGAGGACTTTCCAGAGGCAGAGACCTCTGATCTTTGCCCAGTTTTCTTAAAAAGAAAAAGCTGAGCCAGTGGAGAAGAGGGCACAAGAATCATGTGGCACTGACCTGCACAGGCACAGAGACTTCGAGAGTGAGGCCTGTTTGGGAACAGCAAGGGCATCATTCTTGCCAAAACAAAAGGTGTTTTGGGTCTGGGGCAGTAGGAAGTGAAGTGGGAGAAGAAGGCCCACTTGGATGCCTGGAGGGTTTCTGTGTTCACAAGTGGAGGAAGGCCAGGAGGAGAGACAGGGCTAAGGATCCCATTGACAGTGTTCAGCTGCAGACTTGAGGTTTATGAGGGGAGAGGAATCTGGTGTGGGGATGAGATGCCAGAAGGGGAGAAGTGAGGAGAGGGTCAGCTTGGATGAATTGACAGAGATGGTCAGGTCAGGCTAAGGAGCAGAGGACAGGGGTAGGGAGCAGAGGGAAAGGGCAGGGGAGGATTAGGAGGTGAAGGAGCAAAGGGGTGTGGGGAGGAGGATGGTACATCTTGGATTCTGTAACTGAGAACTGGGATCCCCTGGCTGAAACCCCTCAGGACATGGCAGACATGGGCTGCTGTGGTAAGGGGTGACTGAGTCCCCTGCTCTCAGTGTGGAGAGTGAGAAGCTGGTGCTTGAGTGCTATGTGGTCAAGTCCCTCAAGGGTGTTCTTAGGCACAGGTAAACAAGGCTCCATGGTGTCCAGGCAATGCCCTTACATACAACCCTGGTCTGAGTAATGGAGCAGGAGCTCCAGAACTGGTGGAGGGGCTTTTTCAGCCCCTGGCTCCCTATACTTGAAATGCCTGTTTTCTCAGGCAGGGATGGAGGGAGCAGCTCTGGATGTGGAGAAACAACCAAGGGGAGCACATTCCAGAAACTACTGCCTTCCTCTCCCCTCCCTAGAACACTGCTCTTCCCCTGTTTACCTTACTCTAGAAGGATTGTCCCTACAGCCTGCCCCTGTGTGCCCTGTGTAAAATAGCCGTGCTCTCCTCATCCTGCAGAGGAGGAAATAAAGGACTGTATGTGGCAGGGCCCTGGGGCTGAGCAGGGCAGGGCTGAACTGAGCTCTAGTCTTGGGCAGCAACCCTGGTCCTCAGCCCTCTTAAATTAGGAAAAAAATGTGGCTGGGTCTTGGGTGAGCAAGCCTGCTGGAGGATGGCTTTACTCTGCTCTCCCCAATCTGGGCCCTCTTTCTCTGCCTGCTTTCTCCTCTTGAAGCTCCACTCTCACCAGTGTTACTCAGGGCTTTGCTCCTTTCCAGTGATCAGCCTCACACAACCCAGGGTTGAGTTAATTTGAACAAAGATCCTGACACCTGCTGCCTAATGCCTATCTTGCTGTGATGGGTCTCATGAGGATGACTGTTATTACTCTGTTTTACAGAGTTGTGGGCTGCAGCTTGGAGCTGTGCGGCTTGGCTGAGGTCACACCGAGTCACTAGAGGATTCAACCCCAAACCCCATTCCATTCCACCTAGCTGTCATACTCCTCACTGGAGTCCTCTCTGCCCCATCCATTTCTACCTCTGAGTCTTCTCCTGAGGACTGTAGGCATGGCATGAGGGTGCAGCCTTGGCAGCTAGGTCACCTTGAGGTAGCCCCATTTCTCTAGCAGTGAGGATGGCATTTTCCTATCTTTCTTGCACAGCAGCTCCCAGAAAGGCTACAAAGTTACCTTGGAAGCAGAAACTGGGAGGTCATGACCAAGCAACTTATTTTAGAAGCACTTTTCTCAGTAGTGACAGTTTTATTCCTGCACCCACTTCTGGAGAATTTGAAGTCTTAATTCCTTTCACTCCTGCAGGAGTATAGCCTTGTCTCCCTCCACTTGAGGCTGGGTCCCAGAGGGATGAATGGATGGACACAGGCTTCACCTCCTCAGGAAGTCTTCCTCTGGCTCCAGCAAGTTCTTGATCATACTGGAACTTTGGGCAGATTTGCCTGTCAATTCCCTCCTCCCAACTCCCACCCCTCATCCAGCCTTTCTCCAGCACCCTCCACATCCACACAGAGGTGCTGGACAAGGAAAGGATCATGGGGTGGGGTCTGAAAGGACCTAACATTTACTGGCTGCCATCCTTACACTTTCCATATACAAATTCCAACCCTGGCCTGAGAAATGGAGCAACAATGTCATCCCCACTGTCAGAATGAGGCCTAAGGGATATGTGTTCCCTGGCGTGGTTCCCATGGCTGATGTGTGATTTGACTACAAACCCCACTTGATTTCCACTTTACTTGTTGCCCCTGAGAAGAAGGCAGGGGTTCTCTGGCCATGGAGCCCTTTCAGCCCGTCAGCTACCTCCCAGGGCTTCCTGGAGTTATTGACCAAGATGCTTGCATCCAGAGCTGACCCTCAAATCCAGAAACTCATGGACCACAAGGCAGGGAAACTGGGCTGAAGTCTTCATTCTGTCCCTCATAAGCTTCGTGATCTTCAGCAGGTCACAGGCCTCTCTGAGCTTCCATGTTCTTATCTGCAAAGTGAAGGCAGCAGGCTGTGACACGCTCTCTGCCACCCACTCACAGCTCCTGTACGATAGCCCCAAGGCCCGGCAGGAGGTGGACCACCACTGGCAGGCCTCGGGTGGCCCCCACATTGTGTGCATCCTGGACGTGTATGAGAACATGCATCACGGCAAGCGCTGCCTCCTCATCATCATGGAATGGTATGCTGCCACTCTGCCTTGGTGTCCCTTCAGTTTCCCTGTGTGCCAAGCTTCCCAACAGTCTTCCAGGGCTTTTTCTTCAGACAGCAGCTCTGGGTTCCACCCAGCCTGTGAAGGGTGGCAGAGTTGGTAGCCAGAGGCCCTGCTGGCCACCAGGGCATTCTCTCAGGGTGGGAAAGAGGTCACATGGCTCTCCCATGGCCTCCCTGGGCATGATTTCCTCTCTGTGAGGAGGGCTAGGAAGCTGCCAGAGAAGGCTGCCAACCCCTGGATGGTGAGGGTGGAGGGTTTGAGGAAGAGTATGGCCCACAGAGTTCTTTCAGCTATCTCTTTCCTACTGGGTTTGTGCTCTCATGGTCCCACCAGATGCCAGGTGATGAGGCCAAAGACCAGGAGCCAGCAGCCTCCTCCATCTGGGCTTCTTCCACTGGCACTTGCACCTCTGACTCAGCCTTCCTCAGTCCGGAGGGTCCCACCTGGGCCTTGCTTCCTCCCTATCTGTCTTTCAAGTCCTTCCTGCATTCAAAGATTAGCCAGATTTTTAGAGTTGGGGTTCAGATCCTGACTCTGTTGCCCACTGATTTTGGGAATGTGGGCAGCTCCTAATCTTTCTGAATCTCTGTAACTCACACGTAAGATGTAGAGGAACATCTTCAAGTAGTATTCACTCTGAGCTTGTCTCTCTTCAAAGTGCTCATGTGTATCACGTATTGAATGTTCATGATTCTGTGAGGTTGGTGCTATTATTCTCCTTTCACAAAAGAGGTAGCTGAGGCACAAAGAGGTGAAGGAACCGGTCCAGTATCACACAGCAGGGCACATGAAGGATAGAACCCAGGGCACAGTGTACAGTAGGCACTTAGAGAACAGTGGCACAAAATGGTGATAATTGACATCTCATTCTACATTTGAGGAAATAGACTTGGGCAGGGTTGGGATTTCATAAGGTCTCACAGCCAGGTGAAGGCAGTGCCCCTGAGAAGAAAGGGGCTTCCTGGTAGGGATCTGAGCTTACCACCTTCCCTTGGGTTCTAAAAATACCACCCAAGCTGACAGCCCACTGTATACCTGGTCTTCCAAGGCATAGGGAGGCTGATAGTAGCTGAGGAGCAGGAGGCCCTGGAGGTTGGGTCTCTGAGCTAGGGCAGGGACAGGTGGATGCTCATCTTCCTCTCTGTTCATAGACATCTTCTCTTGCAGCATGGAAGGTGGTGAATTGTTTAGTAGGATTCAGGAACGTGGCGACCAGGCTTTCACTGAGAGAGGTACGTTCAGGCAGTTGGACCAGTGTGGGGAGACAGGGTGAGAAAGATGTACCAGAGTTGCTGTGTGATGCTGGGCAAGGCCCTGCTCCTCTCTGTGTTTCCATCAGAACAAGAGAGGGTAGGACAGAATCTCCTGTTCCTCCAAGGGATTCAAGGAATCTTGACATCTTTTTGGAGACACACTCTCCATGGCCCTGGGAGCTTCTTGGTGCTGATCTACTGTGGAGCTGGGCAAAGCAGCCTAGGCTTGAAGAAAGAGGCCCAGGTGGGCTAGGAACATCCTTAGAGGAAACTGGGGTCCCTGGGGTGGGGTCTAGTATGGAGTCACAGGACTATTGCTATCTTGTGCTGGCCTGCTAGATCATTCCCAAGACAGATGATAGGGTGGGGGCCCCCAGGTTGCCTGACCTTTGTCTGGCATCAGTGACCTCCCCTATCTATGTCTGTAGAGGCTGCAGGGATAATGCGGGACATTGGCACCGCCATTCAGTTCCTGCACAGCCAGAACATCGCCCATCGAGATGTCAAGGTAAGGCTCCAGAACGCAGCTGGGGGACCAGGGAAGGAAGGAGGTTTTATATTATTCCACAACTCCTGATGTCTCCCAGCAACCCCTGGGAGCCAAGTTCCATGCTCAGCATTCAAAGACTGCTCCCTGGCCCATACTGATCTCAGCCTCTCCTCCTAAGGATCCAGCATAGTCATTTTGCTCTTGCCAGATGATCTCCTTGTTTCCTTCAAACATTGTAATTCTGGTAGTAATAATAACTAACTGCCTGCCTCCTACCAGTGTACAGTGGCAACATCTCATTGAATTCTCACCTGGCCCTATGAGATAGGGACCACTACCCATTCCACAGATGAGCAAATTGAGGCTCAGAGAGAGACTAAGTGGCTTGCCTAAGTTGTGCACTTGCTGCCTGTGGATCCATCCATCCATCCATCCATCCACATCCTCAGCAACATATTTTGTGACCATGCAGCGTGCCAGGGCTCAGGCAGGGGCTGCCTAATGCTATTGAGTCTTCTGTGGAGTCAGAGTTATAGTTCCAGTAGACTCAGCCTTCAAACACTAGCCTTTTAACCAAAAGAAGCCATTTGATGGGCAGTGGAGGATGATACTCAAGTAGGCCCAGTTTTTAGGTTTGTTTGCCTTCCTAGTGGATGAGCTTGAGAAATATTCTGGAAGCTCAGTGCTCTAAATATCCTTTCCTGGAAAGATTGGGTCTTCTTGGGCAGCCCTACATGCACACACATGCATGTGCCTATATAAACATGCATGCATGAGCCATCATCATAGCAGAATCTGCCCACCTTGGGCCCTCTACCCAGGCCTGGAGCATTACCTTCCATAGCCTAAGTCAGAGGAGGGCTGAGGGAAACTGCTGGCATCAGGTCCTTCCTTTGTCTGAGTGTTACCAACCCATACAGTTATCATTTGACTCAGGATACATATGGAGCCACAGTAGACCCACCTTCTGAATCCTTGCTTTGCTTTGGCCCTGGCTTCTCTTTTTTCTAAGGGAAAATCCTTCTGCTGAGCAGATGCCTTTGTATGTGCTAAACCAGCTTCTCTGTTTTTATCCCAACCCAAGGTCACATCGTCTCAAATAGAACCTGAAATAGTTCCCACAAGCTCCAACCAGGAGCTTCATCCAATACCCTGCAGAGTTTGGGGCTCCCTCCTATATCTTAGCATGGGCCTAAATCCTACTCATTCATTAAAACCCAGCTTTGGGGCTGCTTCTTCCATGTAGCCCTCCCCATTGTTCCTATTGCCAGGTTCATCTGTACTTTGCAACTACTAAGGCAGAATCTGAGCAGTAGAGGCCTTCTTCCCTGGGCAACCTCAGGTGGGGCTGGCCTGCTGGCCTGGCAGGCTTCCATCAGGACTGGGTATGGGACATGTGGCAGTACTCGGCAATACTGTCTTCTGAGCAGTCTGCTTCCCCATGCACCCCCTTTCTGGTGTTTCATGGCAGCCTTACCAATTTAGGATCACAAATTCCCACCCCTATACGCTCCATGGCACTTGACCATTCACAGCCTTGGCTGAGCACCTGCCTCACTTTCCCCTCTGTGAATGTAGATATCACTTCTCAGGCACCTTGGCCTCTCTATATTTGGTATATGTTGTCTTTGGCCAAGGCCCAGGTCTTTTATGAGATAGATGGGCCTTGCTCTTCCTGTATTGCTATGGAGGTGGGAAGTCGATCAAGACTGCCTTGGGGTTTTGCCCTCACCTGGTACCTGACTAACTCAACACATGTTTTTTCCTCCTTGTCCAGCCTGAAAACTTGCTTTACACATCCAAGGAGAAAGATGCTGTGCTTAAGCTCACTGACTTTGGCTTTGCCAAGGAGACCACCCAAAATGCCTTACAGACGCCCTGCTACACTCCCTATTATGTGGGTGAGTCTTTGGGACATGGTTTGAAGCTCCTCATCTGCACCATTTGCTACTGTGCTTCAGGGCAGCCCGGGAATTGTGGAAACCAAAGAGTTAAAGCTCAAAAAGAAGGGAGGGAGAGCTCTTTCTGTATGGAGGCGCGTGATGTGGGGGGCTGGAGGCTGCAAAAATATTCTCCCAAACTTCAGCTTCTGCTTTTGAAAATAGATCCAGGAAAATTCTGGCTGTGGCCTGTGAGCTGAGTGACATCACAGCAGCTCTAAATATATATGTGATAAAAGGCTGCCATCAGCTTGGGACAAAGCCCAACCGGTTGTTTTTCTCTGGTTCTTAGCTTCCTGGGATTCATATGCAGAAAGTGGGCAGGCCTTTCCCCCTACATTGGAGGGACACAGGGGACTAGTCATCTGCTTTGTGGGAGAGGGAGCCAGGACTGGGAGGGTTACTGGGGTGTGTGTATATATATTCATACTCATGCTGACAGCTGTGCTCCAAGCAGTCCCTAGATCTGGAAAGGCCTCTGGTGAAAGTGCCCCTTGCCTATGAGTTGGTGTTGACAGGGCTTTTCTTCAGGAGAGGCCTTGAGGGGCTGCTGAAGGGGAGGGAAGCCCCCTGAGAGAGCTGAAATGCTAGGATGAACGTTGAAATATTTTAACCTAGAAATCCTCTGGCTTGCTGACCTCATTGCACAGATGGGAAGACCAAGACCCAGTGAGTTGATCCCCAAACTGACAGTGGAACACAGAGCCCTGCCCCTGGCTCCTCCTTGCCTGTGACCTTACTGTGTGTTCAAGGAGGCAGGGACATAGGGCAGCTGGTGGGCTGAGGCCCTTTGGCCTATGGCAGACTTCACCAAGCTCCTGAGAGGCCTCCTCCCCCTTTTCACCCTCACCAAGGTCAAGACTGGCAGAGGGGCCCAGGGGCCAAAGGAGCTAGGGGGCTGTCTGAAAGCAGTTTATTTTTTTCTGGGAGCTGTTTATTCTCCTCCAACTTCTCACACATGCTGCCTTCTCAGAAGGTGCCAGACACATCTGCTGTGTCCCACCTCCCAGCTCGGGCACCTGCTTCTCACCTTGATCAGGCTTCAAGCTCTTGTCTAGGTCTTAAGACCTTTGAGAGCCCTCCTATGTCTTCTGCCCTGGCAGCCCCTGAGGTCTTGGGTCCAGAGAAGTATGACAAGTCCTGTGACATGTGGTCCTTGGGTGTCATCATGTACATTCTGTGAGTACCATCGTAACCCCCCACCTTGGCCTCCTGCCTCCACCACAACATATATCTTTAGTACCACTTTGCTTCCCAGCCCCTATGTCCTTAGTGAGGGGCTTGTGTGTGTCCCCTGCCCCCTTGGGCAGATTTCCTTCCTTTCTGGTCATGAGACACCATTCCTTCTGGCTGCCTGAAGGTCTGCCCATGCTGAGGGCTGATGGTGTTCCTGGGCTGTGCCTAGGAATTCAGAAGGCTGGTATAGTGCCATGGTGTCTGGCTGCCTGCCTTCTCAATGAGGGGCTTGGGTGGAAAATGGGTCTGCCCTAGTATTGTCCCCCATCCTTATGCTGAATGACCTCCTCCTTCCCCCAGCCTGTGTGGCTTCCCACCCTTCTATTCCAATACGGGCCAGGCCATCTCCCCAGGGATGAAGAGGAGGATCCGCCTGGGCCAGTATGGCTTCCCCAATCCTGAGTGGTCTGAGGTCTCTGAGGATGGTGAGTGAGCCTTTCTGCCCCGTGTGGCCCCCTTGGCCCTCATTCTAGGAAACATCTCTTTGGTGCAAAAATGACCTGTGTTCAAATCTTGACTCCTTAGGTTCCTAGCAGTGTGATCCTAGGCAAGTTACCTAACCTTTTCAGGGCTCAGGGTTTTTTTTGTTTGTTCGTTTGTTTTTTGGTACTGGGGATCGAACTCAGGTCCTTGCGCTTGCGAGACAGGTGGCGGAACCACTGAGCTAAATCCCCGGCCTCAAGCCTCAGTTTTTATGTCTGCCAAATGGGTTCAAAAAACCTAAAACTCCCTCTTTAACTTCTGTTCTTCATTTACATTTTCCTGTCTGGGGACCACAAATGGGTCTACATTGTATTAGTTACCTATTGCTGCTTAACAGATTATCCTGAACAATTAGTGGCTTAAAACAGGAAATAGCTTGCTATATCTGCATGTTAGGAACATTGTAGCATGTGCAGCCCTGTGCCAACAAAACTTGTAGTCTATGGGGAGGGGCAGGGGGCTGCAACCTCACGGCCCTCCTCTCTTTCCTGGTCCCTCTAGCCAAGCAGCTGATTCGACTACTGCTGAAGACAGACCCCACAGAGAGGCTGACTATCACGCAGTTCATGAACCATCCCTGGATCAATGTGAGCATCCATAGCCAGCAGGATGTTGGGCTGGAGCAGGGCTTCCAGGCAGGAGAGCGGTGGCTCTGGAATCTGGGGTATTAGTGCTGAAATGGGCCCCTGAATACAGATGTGTAATATCCCCCGACCTATAGCCTGGTGCTGTTACTGCCCCACTCAGGCTTCTTCACCTCTCTGACCCTTGGTTTCCCCATCTGAGACTGGGAGATGGGGGGAGGTTGGGGTTAGCTAGTGTTGTTGCACATGCCTCCAGGCTCTAATTCAGGGGCTTGGGGATCTTTCCAGCAATCAATGGTGGTGCCACAGACCCCACTTCACACGGCCCGAGTGCTGCAAGAGGACAAAGACCATTGGGATGACGTCAAGGTGTGTAGACTTTGCCTCAGTCTTCCTGCAGTTTCCAGGGTGGTAGCTCCCCAGATTCTGGGTGTTTGGCTCCTCTTGCCTGGAACACAGCATGTCAGTTACTGCCCTATGTATCGATATACATGGCACTCCAAGTATTGGACTACACCATTCAGGGTGGGGGCTCCTGGCTTATTCCCAAGAATGAGGCTTTGGGCCCAAGCAATGGCCCCCTATCTTCTGACTTAGAAAATGCCATGTTTGATCATATGAGATAGCAGCTAAAAACCCTGGGGTACCCAGGGCACAATCTTCAAGCCCAGAAAGATAGCATTCTGGGGAGTCTTTGTGGTTCTGGCAAGTAGCACTGGCTCAGCTCTTTGTCTCATTTACCGTTGGTGTGATCACAGAGAATCACTCCTTTTCTGTACCCTGCTAGATAAGCTCAGTGTCTGCCACTAAGGAGTTAGGGAAGATTATGAGACACAAAGGGCCAGCCACAGTGGGCATGGAGGCAACACAGCCTGTCACTGTCATCCTGATGGTGTTAAGGGGCTGCCCAGGCAGGAGGGTGATGGTTGTTAAGGTCAGTTCACCTTGACCTCTTTGTCCTCTATGCCATCCGTCCTCAGGAGGAGATGACCAGTGCCCTGGCCACCATGCGGGTAGATTATGACCAGGTGAAGATCAAGGACCTGAAGACCTCTAACAACCGGCTCCTCAATAAGCGGAGAAAAAAACAGGCAGGCAGCTCCTCAGCTTCACAGGGCTGCAACAACCAGTAGTCCACGGGGTCTTGGAGGAGTCAGGCCTCAACCTGTGTGACAGACTGCATTGTGCTGAGGTTCTATCAGAGGGCTCAGGGTCATTTTAACACAAGGATTATTTGTTGTTTTTTACTTAGACCTTTGAGATGGCAGACCTGGACTCAAAATTTTCAGAGCCACAGCCCAGACTCTGGCCCCAGAGAGGAGGAGGGAGCCCCCTGCTAATCAAAGCACTTTTGGCCAGGGTGGGACATGTCCTGCTCTGACCTGGGGACATGACTTTAGCCTTCTAGGCCACTGGGAATTGTGGCTGGGTTTCCCTTCTTCAAGGGAGATAGCTCCCAGCTGGGTGGGCAGATAGGCTTGGCTCTGAGAAAGGCATCTGGCCATTGGTTGCCATGGTGATCAGGGACAGTGTTGGTCCCCGAATGCTGAGTGTGTAACAAGGGAGGGAGAAGGGACAATCAAGAGTCTACCTCTGTCATCTTGGGGAGTCTGATCTCTCTTACAATGGCTGCCCCTCTCAAGCTCACCCCTCTTTGATCTCCCTGAGACTGCAGGGTGAAGCTTGCCTGCCTCTTTTGGTGGTCCAGCCCTGCCTTGCTGCAGCCTAAATCCAGATGGCACTCAGAGCTTTCCCCGAAGGAGTCCCTGGGTCAGCCATCCTATCACTACCCACTACTCAAAGGGTTGTTTTTTCATCTCAGCCAAAGGTGGAGATATTTAATCCTTTCCCACTTTGGAAAATGTCACTGTGATAAAAGTCCCCAGCCCCAGATCTGTCCTCACTAAATCCCAGGTAGGAAAGTCCTTTTACTGATGGCAGGGGCTGTGTTTTAGTATACTTTTGTGAGAGGATATAGTTGGATTCCCATTAGCCAGGCATCTCTTCCCATGCTGTAGGTCAGACCTGAGGTGGTAGAGGGCTGCTGATCTACCTGAGTAGATCCTAGCTACAACCTGAGTTGGAGCAGAGAGAGCTCCTCCTGGCCAATTCAGGATTATCCAGCCCCACTCCACCCAGTACCTGATGCTAAGTACCTGATAGGGTGCCTGACAAATGTCTGACACTCAGTCTAATTCTTTTTGTTTCTTTTTCCTTCCTCCAATGAGTTCTAATCAATGGTTCTTCTGTATCAGGGAGAGGACTTTCTAATAAAGGGCCAGTTATCTTCTGATGCTACAGCTTCTTCCTTTCATATCCAAAGGTCTGTCATGAGCTGAGGAAAGGGGAGACTGGGCCCTGAGTTTTTCAGAGGAAATTCCCAAGTCAATGTTTTTTCTTTACAAGGGGATGGGTCACAGAAAGCCAGTTCCAGCCCCACTGACAAAGGGTCAATGGACAATAAACAGGCTGCTCCCTCCTTCTCAAAAAGGAACTACAGCCTTTGTTTGTGTTTGTCATTGTTTTTGTTGTTTTGTTTTGAGACAAGGTCTCACTATGTAGTTCAGGCCGTCCTTGAACTTAGTTTGTAGTCCAGGCAGGCCTCTTAACACCCCAAAATCCTCCTGCCTCACCCTCCCAAGTACTGGGATTATAGGCATGTACCACCATGCCCAGCTTGGAACTACATCCTTAACACACAGGTACTTTTCAGTAGGGTAGAGGGCCTTGGGCTCCTCGCAGACCCTCTCCTTTCTCTCTACCACCAGCAGTAATGGGCCAGGGCACGGTTGGCCTCAGCCATCTTGTGCATGTCCTGCTTCCTCTTTGTCATGGGGCCCTGATTATGAAAAGCCTACAGCAGCTCATGTGACAACTTCTCTGGCTTCAATGTCCACCGGTGCTTATTATCTTGGCGCTCAGTGATCATCCACTTCATGGCCAATAATCAGCGACGTCAGTCAGGTAGGGGCACAGGGACCTGGTAGAAATGGCCATCCCTGAGGATGGATATGAGGCCAATAACAGGCTCACAGTTTTTCAGTACTTGGTGGAAGATGATGTAGGGATTACTTTTGATGGTTGCCTATTCCTCTGCAGAAGCACCACGGTACTTCTCAAACTGCTTCCTTTTCACAGCTTCCAGAGTCTGGGTCATGAGGGATCTGGCCAGTATTTTATTTCCTCCTTTCATCATCATGTTGGTTAATGTGCTGACCATTGGGTCTGCAGACACAGAGCATGTTGTTGTCACTGGGGCTGCTTCGATGAGCTGAGTCTTCTTGAGCTCCTGGTCATATTTCTCCTCCTCGGTGAGCTCTGTCTTGGGCTTGCAGTAATGTCCTTTATCAACTAGAGGATCCCTGAATTCAGGACCATCGCAACTCCATCTCACCTGGGTTGGCTCTGAAACATGCCAGACAGTGCAGGTGACTCCTGGGGCTAGGCCAGGCCAGGACCACCCACTCAGTATAATTCTTGGTTCCTGGCCTCTCTCACTGACTGGGAAATCCTAGACCAGTGATGGTGAACCTTTTAGAGCTTTCAATGATACAAACAACCTGCTGTGGCATGAATGTCATAGGTTTATCACCACTGCTCTAGACGGTGTCAGCCAGATCAGTGCTGCCGAGTTTTATATCTAGATATTAATAAACACCATTTTGGCATTTTCTCCTGGTTCCTGGGCTTCTCTTTGTGTACATGGATGGACAAATGTGGCCAAAGAGCAGCTGTACATCCCTACTAACGATTTCACTCTGGCTAGAGAGGGTGCCTCAGGCCTGGTAAACATTCCAGGCTGTCTCCAGAGCTACTGCAGCCTCACTAGGCATGGAAAGGTCTGAGGGGCTGAGGGATGGCAGCTGCCACATGCCCCCAGCTCTGTGCCACCCCTATGCACTGTATGTGTGACACCTACTCCTGGCCCTGTGTGTGCCAGCGTCTGCCCACAGTGGCCACCCCCAGCTGCGTGCCAGCCTGCTGAAGGGCAGGCAGAGTGCCTGCTGCAGTACTGAGCTATTTTCAGAAGCTGCCAGATTTCCATTTGGCAGCGAGAATATCGAGGAGGAGAGGGGGCAGGGTGCTGGAAGACTGTCTTTTCACTACTCCAGCAAGAGTGCACCCTCATCCCTTGGGAGCTCTTGCGGGCAGCCTTAAGGTAGCTCATTGTGGCATTTTTTCCCCCATCTTCAATCTTGAAACCTCCCAGTTTTCCACGAGCTCATCTGGCATAGGCAACGCCCCATCCCGGGAGTGGGGAAGGTGTGGAGATGTAAGAAGACAGGACAGGCAGCACTCAGGAGATGTTTTGCTGCTTCCCAGCCCAGTGACCTTGGAAAAGTCCTTCAGCTTCCCTCACCTCCATCCATTCCTGCAGCTTGTGTACTAGAGATGAGAGCACCCACCTCATAGAGTCATCTGGGCATTCAAGCAGACATGTATGGGAAGCACTTAGTGGTGTGATTGGGGCATGGCTCATGCCCAACTCCCATTAACCACTCCAGCATCTTTATCCATCAGGAAGGAGAGAAATACCTAAAATTGTCTGAAGAAAAAGTCCAACCCCAAATCTATCTCTGGGACTTTCTTTCCAGAAAAATCAGGCCTTCTCCACCCATGAGTGTTACTCCCAATGGTTTGTCCTCCAGGATAACATCATGTGGGCCTTCAGGGCCTTAGTTCTAGTCCTACACTTCAAAGGAGGGCAACTAGATGAGTTTGAGGATCCCTGTGAAGTCTGTGGTTAAGCCCAACCCTTTGATTATATTCGCTGTCTGGTGGAATACTGGCCAGACTCAAAGATGTATAGAGTCCATCTAGTGGGCTGGCGATTTAGCTCAGTGGTTTCGCCACCTGCTGTGCAAGCATAAGGACCCGAGTTCGATCCTTGGTACCAAAAAAAAAAGACTATCTAGTAAGAGTTGCAGGATGCAGAGGAACTTCTTCACTTGGCTATTGAGTACCCACTGCACCTGCAACTCCATGCTGACTGCAAAGAAGGCAGCAGTGAAAGTTTCAGACCACGTATTCACCCAGGAGTTTATATTCATGGGGTAGAAGAACAAAACATTACACAAATATGTGTTGAATCATGACCTAGATGTGGTGTGTAAAGGAAAGATATGGCTCTAGCAGGAAAAGGTGTTATGGGGCAGTTTAAACCAAAGGGAGAATTGATGTACTTTGGAGGCCAGGAAGGTTACAGGGTTGAAAGCAAGACACCTGGGCCCAGGACCTCGGGCCCTGTCTGTCCCTTGGCTCTGCTAGTTTAGGCTTCTTACTGGGCTGGCTTTGATCCCCCATTGCATCAACCTTCTCTATAGGTAAGACCACAGCTGCAGAAATCTGGAAGGAGATTGTCATCTGATCAGGTATCCACCTGCCATTCTCAGGGAAGGACTCTTATTGGTCACTTTCGGCCCTTTACTGTTGTGGAGGGAGCATGCCCCTTCCTGTGACCAGGTTGGAGAAGTTCGTTATAGCAGGGGAGAAAATGGAAGGATTGCTCTTTTTTCTCTCATGTTTGCTTGGCCACTTCCAAGAGCTCATGAGAAATCGTGCCCCATGACAAGCCCAGCGCAGGGCCTGGCCCCCCGATCTCTGGTTTTGGATGAAGTTCTTACAAGCCAGGACTGGGAGGTTGGATGCCTGGCTAACTCACACCCCTAGATGGGAGCAAATCTCTGACATCAGCTGCTGTCAGGTAAGCTAAAAAGCCAAGTGGCCACATGTTTACATCAGCTAACCCAGGCATTTGCATGGACTCTATAGTGGTTTTCTTGAGAATTTGCAGTAAAGAATTTCTTAAGAGGGGTGTGTGTGTGTATGTGTGTGTGTGTGTGTGTCAGTCAGACAGGGGTGGGAGAAGAGAAACATAGACCTGACTCTGTCCTCAGAACCTGATGCTGGCTGACTTTCAGCAGCCTGCCTCATTGCTATTCTATACCAGTATACCAGCCCCTCTCCACCCTTGCCCTCTATTCAGCCTTTCCACTGCAACATCAGAATTGAGCCTCAAAATGCAGCCTACTGCAGTATCTGCAGGGGTTTCAATGTTTTCAGGCCTGCTTAAAACTCTCCCTAGTGGGCACGGGAGGTGGGCAGAGGGGCTTGTGTGGCTGTCTCCAGACCTGGTTGCCTTAGGCTGAGCTTCTGCATTCCAAGTGGGTCCTCACAGCTAACTTCAAGCTGAGCAGGGTAAAATTCTTCTTTTTGTCCCACTGGGCTGCCAGCATGCTTACCCTTTCCAATTTGGGTCAGCAGATAGGAAGCTTACCACCCACCTGTGTGTCCAATGGGATGGAATCACTTAGATTTACCTGAGGCCTTGGTCAATGCTAATCTCATTTTGAGGTTCTCATCAGTGAGATAAAATGTTGATTAAAGAAGACCAGGTTGCCTATTATCCCAGCACTTGGGAGGCTAAGGCAGGAGGTTTGCCACTAGTTTGAGGCCAGCCTGGGCCATATAGACAGCTCAAGGCCAGCCTAAACTACATAGCAAGACTCTGCCTAAAAACAAAAACAAAAACAAAAACAAAGCAAAACTCTCAAACAAATAAACAAACAACAAAAAAAAGAGGACCAGGTTACTCCAGCATCCTTGGCAGATGTGTTGCCACTAGTTGATGGTCTGTGAAGAATGCTCTGGGGTCTCAGGAGAACCATGTACTTCATAAGGCCTCAATGTCCTTGCTTGAGGGAGGAGTCTTACTTACAAAGGTGGGACAGGGATGTGGTGGAGAAGGTGAGAAGAGCGACCAAGCCCAAAGCCCTTGGTTACCAGCATGTGATAGGTAATGTACCCAGCTATCCAGTACTCTGCCTGCTCCACCTTCCATTTCCCCAGATCTGGAGAAAGTTGCTGGTGACTCAAGGAAACCTGATTCCTCCGGCTCAGAGGAGCTGACAGCCAACAGCCAAGACAGGTTAATTGGGGTGTGGGGCCACCTACTGGTCACCCGGGTGAGTATTCAGTGGACACCTACTATGTGCCAGTATTTGAGGGAACTGTGGGGTAGGAGAGGTACCACAACCTCATAATGAACAGCTGCTGTTTACTGAATGCCTACTGTGTGCCATGACTGTGCTGTCTGTGGCTCATCTTATTTAGTTCTCACATTTTCATGTTACAGAGAACCTGAGCTCCAAGCTCTTAGCCATTGCCCTCTCTGCTAAAGGAGGTCAGAAAAAGGAAATGCTTCTCAGAAAGCTTCCCAGATATGACAGTGTGAACTCAAAGGCAAGTCATATTTGGATGGACAAGATTTAGAGAAAGAGCACTGCAGCTAGCAGGTGCAAGGTAGAACAAGGTGTTCTGTGTGAAGAACTAAGAGTAAGTTTGTTTAACAGGTGAGAGGCAGCCACAGCAGGGGTGTCTCTCATTTCCTCACCCCCTTCCTGAAAAACATCAAAGTAGGGTTCTCAGGGCAAGACAGTGGGCACCTTGTGGCAACTTTTCCCTCTTAGAGCCCCCAAGGGAGAGCAAACAGGTAAAGAAGAGGTGATGGGGCTGAGGAGACAGCTGGAGAGATTGAGGAGCCTGCCTTATCTTGCAAAACCAGCCCCTGCTACAGGGCCTGTGTGGAAAAAACAAGTTATACCCCAATCCTCATGCCCCTCTGGCTCTGCATCCATAACAAATCAGGGAGCATTAACTCTTATACCTGACAGATTCTGTGTGCAGCAGTGTGAGTCAGGCCTCTTAGCCACCCCATGAAACAGCTTCCCCATGCAGGGACCTACCCCAGCTCAGCCTCCCTTTTAGGTGATAGGACTCTGACTCAGGGGCCATGTCTCCCCAGCTTAGCTGCTAGAGTTGAATGGAGGTCTCAGGGGTCACTGAGAAAGGCCAGATGAGAGAGTTACTGGGCTGCTCAGGCCTGGGCCTGGCTAACTACTGTTAATATCTTGCAGCTCAGGTTTTGTGCCTTGTCAGGTACCAGGTATCTCACACATGGCCTCCTTTACATTTCTGCTCTTCCAGTAACTCTCCTGGACATAAATTATGTCCATTTTGCAGAAAAAGTTACCGAAGCTTTAATGGTACTAGAAGTACCATGTTTCTGAATGGTATGTGGTAGGACCTGGGTTTGAACCTGGAACTTTGGGCTCCACAATGCCCTCCCTAAGAGGAAGACCGTCACTGCTAAGAGTCTCAATGTCACTGACTCCTTCCCTGACCTGGTCTAGTTAGAAGTGTCATACACCTGCTTTTCCTCTCTCTTGACCCTTTATGTCTCTGGCTGTCAGAAAAAGGATGCTTGAAGTGATCTTCCTTGGCCTTGAGGCAGGGAGCACCCAGCACCTCTCAGGGAGGTTTAAAGTCAGGGTACTTCTCTGAAAATGAGATGGATGTTGTGCCTTATTTCCACATCTTGGTTCCCCTTCTGACTGTTTTGTGACATCAGACAACCCCCTTAATCACTCAATTTCCTCATTAGACCATGTGGAGAGCAATGCCCCCCCCCCCGACTGTAAGACTGTGAAAGGTAAGGCATGACATTCTACACAGTTCCCAGCATGTCATAAGTTCAAAAAAAGAAAATTCACCTCACACAAGAGGCTATCTGGGGATAATGGTATTCAGGGAAGTGTTGAATCACATGTTAAAGCCTGGAAGAGAGGCTGTCTTCCTGACAGAAGCTGCAGTCAGTGCTCCTGTCTGACTGAGCTGCACACCTGCGCTTGGGGTCTTTCTGTGAAGGCCCCTGTCAAGCTGGGGCCTAGCAGACTGCAGTAGGGCTGCCAGGACTGGTGGGGTGACAGGCAAGGCTCTGCCCAGTGGTAGCTAGGCAGGTCTAGAAAGTCCCTCCTCACACAGTCTTGGAGGGTTCCAGAGACTGTGGGGGCACAGGTGAAGGCATTGCACCAGCTGGATGAGGGAATGGACTGGCCTAGTTTGCCTACAGTGGTCAGGCTTTCCTATGTTGTTGACTGGGACAAGCCAAGCAGATGACACTCTTTCTCTAGTGATAGCCCACAGGCAAAGACAGGGATAAAAGAGTCAGGGAAGCCTTTGAATAGGGGACACTCAGCTAGGACAAATAAGTTGGCTATAAGAAGAGGAGAAGAAGGGCATCCGTGTAGAAAAATTAGCAAGTGCAAAGGCATAGCAGCTCAAAAGGTCTTTGAGTATCTGAGGAGAGAAGTGAGTCACATTGTACCTGGAGAGTGCAGTTCTCTACCAGGAAGGAGAAAGCATATGAGCATCTTTCTGGGAACCAAGTAATAAAGCTTTTTGGAGATGCCTTTTTCTAGATTCTGCCACTGACCACCTAGAACAGGGTCTGGCCTAGGGCTCATGATAGCCTGACCAGATGTAACCTGTCCCTTGACTCTATAGAGAGAACATCAGATCCTGAAATGGCTTTACTGTCTTATTGTTGGCAATAGAATGATCCCACTAAACCATGGATACAAACCTCCCTGGTGCTGGTAATATCAGCAAAGCCAACAACTGTGTCTGTTTCCACAAGAAGCAACAACTAACCTCTGAAGATAGATTCTTTAGAGATAAGGCCTTCCCGCTGGTCTTCAGAAAGAAGGGGTCAGTTACTCTTAACTTCTGTAGCTGGAGTTTGATCTCATTGGAGTTGTGTGGGTGCTTGGGTGAAGATCCTGGGATGGGGTGAGCAGAGATTCTCAGGAATAGTGCTGCACCATAATCTCAGCCAGCAACAAGTTCCTTCTCCACCTATCACATGAATCAATGCAGGTCAGGGGCTGGCCTAGACTGGAGGTATTCCTTCTAGGATAGCCAACCCTCCTCCCATATCCACCTGTCAGGGCCCAACTCTGGACAATTTTCTTCGGATACTCTGGATGTCAGATGGGTTTCCTCAGAAGACCTAGGTCCCATGGAATGAATCCTTCCTGACTGAAGGTGCTTGGAGGATAAGGTAAATGTAGAAGGAGTTTAGTGGGGGAGAAAATGGCTGGTTTATGCCTTCTGAAAGGAAGGTAGTCAGAAGGAGCTGACTTGTCCAAGGTCACACAGAAGTTTAGTAGCTGGACTTGTGAATGAAAGAAAGTTTCTGGAAGACAATCCCAATTTTGAGGCCAGGACATCAGAACTATAGGGACCTAGAAGAACTTGTGGATTCCAGCTTCAAGATTTCTAATGTTTCCTCCACAGAGTCCAATTACCTGGAAGGAGAAATCATACTCTTTGGGCCTCTGTACTTTCTTGCTTCCATGCTCACCCTCCTGGGTTGGCAAAGCTCAGCCCTCCATGGACAGGAATGAGTCTAGGAATAGTGAAAGTCAGTCAAGTATGTTCAGAAATGGCTTTGGGACCTGGGATGAATGGAAACCTCTGGATAGAGTCTGAGAAAGTCAGGGTTGGAACATGCCTTGTCGTATTTAATTCTAGTTTTATAAATGAGAAAACAGAGGCTCACAAGTTATCTTCTTAGTCTAGACTGCCCCTGCCTGCATGAGCAGATTTCCTGGCCTCTCGTTTGGCCACCTTTCCTTCCCTGGCCTCTGAGTTCCTTCCCAGGTCCCTCTGGCTCTCACCCTTTTCTGCAGAGCTGTTTTCCCTTTTTTACTTCTTTGTGGGTAAGGACTTTCTCACTAACTGTACTTGAGGGCTCTGTGGCTTTGAATTAGGCTTCCGTGGGTTTTCTTCCCAGAGGGCTTTGGATGAGAACAGCATCAACATTTGTCACTGAGAGAAGGTATAAGGGGTTTTGCCTGTGGCCAGAGACAAGACTGGGTATCTGGAGAGGCTGGTGCTGGAGTTGCTGGGCTACTGGGACCCAGAGCCTGGAGGGTTGAGAGTAGGACTTTCAGGCCCCAGGTCTGCCCTTTACAGGTTCTGGAGTCCAGGGCACTTTGAGCCTGAAAACACTGGCTCCTGGGCTGGCTGCTGATGTTCCCCTCCTTGTTACTCTTGGAATTGGAACTGCCCAAAGGCTGGACACACATGAGGGACTTCCTGGCTGCACTTTGTAGTTGTGGAAATGTTGGAAGCCACGGCCATTTGGAGTTGGAATCTCTATTCTCTGGCTGGAGATGTGGCTGGTCCTGTCAGGCTCCATACCAAAATGTCTTCTCAGAATCAGGGATGTTGCAGGTCCTGGGAGTAGAGTGGCAGCTTTGCTTGGTGTTGGGACATGAAGTAGGTTTTTTGGAAGGAAGATAGGACTTTGAGGTGGTCAGAGCAGAGAGGGCACAGCATGCTCATGGGAAAGATCTTGCTGTATCTGGGGATGGGTCCAGCCCAGGGTGGGAAAATACATGTCAAGCTGAGTACAGACATTGCTTTGGAGACAGCAGGGAGCCACTAAAGACCCTTACACTTAAATAAAGTGACGGGTTGCCCTAGTTATTTTCTTGTTGCTGAGACACAATACCCAACACCTACAATGTAAAGGAGAAGAGGTTTATTTTAGCTTATAGTTTCAGTCCATGGTCAGCTGGCTCCGAGGCAGTAACAACATGGCAGAGGGACATAGAGAGGGAAAAGCTACTCATATCATGGGAGCCAGGAAGCAGACAATGAAAGGAGCCGGGGACAGAGATAGATCCTTCTAGATAATGCCACCAGTGACCCTCCTCTTTCAGTCAGGCCCCCATTCCTAACAGAATCCACTGATAAGTATTATCACTCCCACTTCCCAAAAGCCCAACTTCTGAACATGTGAGCCTTTTAGGGAACATTCTAGATCTAAATCATAACACAAGTTAAGAGAGTGATTGGGACATCTTCACCTGGGGTTGGAGGTGAGGAAGCAGGAGAGGGGAACTCACCTAACAATCTTTCCTGGACCTCTCCAAGGGTGACTGAGACTGTGGCTGGATGCTCAGGGACAGCATCCCAAGCTGGGCAATTCCCAAGCAAGTCACAATCAGTCCCTGGCTCATGCTCACCCTTGGTTAGAGACTTCCTCAACAAGCAATCCTTGGGACCATCTTAAACTGGCCTAGGTGTTTTCCGGGCAAGCCCAGCCATTCTTATGCTTCCAGCCCTGTGGTTGTCCCTGACCTGGGACTTCCTGTCCAGGGGAAGGAGGGAGGAAAACTCATGTTATTGACAGATGGATGTTGAAACCCATAGCTTTCCATTCCATCTCTTTTGCCCTCCCCACCCGATAGATCTCGTCCAGGTCATCCCACTCCCTCCATCTTAGAGCAGCCTGGGCAGCAGTCCTAAGAGGCAAGTGTTTGCCTTTTCATCCATTTCACACCTAATGCCTTTTGATGAACCAAGTCTGCTTTTACTTCACGGTCCCTGCTTGTCCCTTGACTTCAGAGTTCCTGCAGCCCTGAGCCATATCAGAACCTTCCTGGAGCCTCCACCTTTAGAACCTGCCTTAGCCTGGAAGATGCCTGCATTTACTACAGGTTCTGTGGGTAATGTTTCTCCACTGGTGTGTTGGGAGCCTGGATCCCAGGATGTACTCATAGTGGTCTCTCTGGTCAGTGGTTGTCACCGCTAAGGCACCTTTACCTTTCCTGTCATTCAAGAAACCCTTGGCATTCTCTTCACATCAGGACAAGAGCACAAAAACATAATATATATTTTGAAAGTGGGAGAAAAAGAGAGAGCCTCCTCTACTTCTTTCTTCCCCAACATATCTTCCACAGCTTCTAGTCTAATCCCAGTGGAGTGTCATAGTCCTTGGTCTGGCTCTGCCCACTTCAGGTTCTGCAGAATTTCCAAGTTCAGCCCCTTGAAGATTGTGGCCCCTGCTCTCTACTAGTATAGAGAAGGAAGACTGGGGTATGGTAATGCATGCCTATAATCCCAGCAATCTGGGAGACTGAGACAGAAGGATTGCAAGTTTGAACACAGGCTGGGAAAATCAGTGGCTTAGCAAGACACAGTCTCAAAATAAATAACAAAAAAAGCCAGGGATGTAGCTCAGAGCAAAGGCAAGGAAATGCCTGGAGCTCTGGGGCTGGCTGTTGTATATGTGATCTTGGATAGGCTTTTTTCCTTCTCTGGAATCTGTTTCCTTGGTGGTGAAATGGCCCGAGTGATACTCACAGGGTTATTTGGAAAATTTAATGCGATAGTATATGAGTACAGAGCTGAATTGAAAATCTAAGAGGTGAGTTACTCTAGGATAGGGGGAGTAGAATAACCTGGACCAGGTCTATTGTGTGGGGAGGGGGAAGGAGGTGAAGGGGAAATAGCATCTGATATGACAGGGAGGTCTGGTGAATTAGGAGTCCAGAGGCTCCTGTGCCATGCTGAGGTCTCTGCTGAGCAGATACCGAGGGTAGTCTGTTGTTTACCTAGAAGAATTTATAATAATCAAAATCCTGGGATGTATAGAGCCAGAGAAAATACTATTTGGACAGTGGCCAGCCTGGAGGAAGGAGAGAGTAGGTGCAGGGAGCAGGAGATGGAATCTTCCTCTCCGAAGACCACAGCTACGCTCATGAATTTGAGTCATCCTGCAGACCTTAAGTGTTGGAGAAGGGGAGGTCAGTCCCATATTCCTTGCCTCTAGGACTAGTTGACTAGGGGAGAAAGCTTCCTAAGCAAAAGATGCATGTAAGTACACAAGGCCTTCAGCCTTCTGCTCCAGCCTTGTGCCCTGGCAGACCTATCCCATCTCACCCAGCACAGATCCACACCCTTCCAGCTCTCCAGAGATAAGTTTCTGAGTACAGAAGTCAAAGCCTGGATTGAACCTGTTGAATGAATAGGATCAAATACATTCTTTCTATCCCCAGGCTGAATTTCTCCAACCCCTCCAGACCACATTCAAGGAAGAGTTACAAAAATGTCCTCTTGGTTCCCAGAGGAATAGAATGCAGCTGTTTAGGTCTGTGATGGGCTCATAAAATTGTCTACTGGCCAGTGTTACGCTCAAACAAAAAACTTCTGAATTTTGTTTTTGAGGCCCTTAGAAGAGAACAAAATCTCAGACTTAGCTGGGGTGGATGTCCATGAGAAGAAGGGACTGTGTGTGAGAAAAATTATAGGGGCAAAAGTGAAGGAAGGCAGACCAACAAGGAGGCTGCAGGATTCCAAGTGAGAGGGAGGTGGCTTGGGTTGAGAGATCTTGGATGGATTTGGAGTTGAAGTCCCAGAACTCACTGTGGAATGGATATGTGGAGAAGGAGAAAGGATGACTAGTAGTGATAAGCCTGAGCTGCTGAGGAACTAGAGGTGCTGGCCACTTTTCCTTCCCCAAGGTACTAAAAGACACCAAGGTATCAGGAAGGTAGCTGGATTGAGGGAGCTTGAGCCATAACATTGAGAGACATCATAATCTAGTTGGGGTCCAAGGTCACAAGACCAGGCAAGACAGGAAAGAATGGGAAGTGAGATGAAAAGGAGTCTCAGTCCTGGGGCAGAGGTTAGGGAGATATGAAGATATCAGAAGAGTAGAATGAGCGGGGCACCCAGGCAGGAAGAAAGCTAAGTGTATGGTCCTGCTTCAATATGCATAGCGGATTGATTCCAGGACATCCTGTGGATGCCAAAACCTGTGGATGCTCCAGTCTCTTACATAATATGGTACAGTATTTGCATATAACCTGTGCAATTCTCCTGTGTACTTTAAATCATCTCTAGATCACTTATAATGCCTAATACAATGTAACCACCGTGCTAGTAGTTATTATGCTGTATTTTTTAGTGGATGATGACAAGAAAAGTTTTTCTGTGTTCAGCCTAGACACAATCTTTAAAAATATTTTCAATCCACAAGAATTTGTTGAATCCACTGATCTGGAAACCACAGATATGGACAGCTGACTCTATAGTTTATTATAAGCTTGTAAAAGCAAGTGTGCCAAGAAAGAAATGGTCACTGTGTTGGATACTGCTGAGTAGGAAAAGTAGGACAAGGACAGAGAAACAATCATCAGATTTGCCATCACAGACATCCTTGATAGCATTAATGTGGGATTTCCATGGAGCAATAGGGATGAAAGTCCAAATGGGCAAAATAGGAGCTGCCAGTGTGAAGGTAGAGGCAAGGAGTACAGTGCAGGGGGATGACTGCCTTTTTCCAACCATTGTGTGAGAGGCACTGAGGGGCTCTAGGCTTTGCCGAGTGACCACAGCCCTCAGTCATCACAAAGAGAAAAAGGCCTTGTGTCTTGGAAGTCAAGGCTTGGGCTTGCCAGGGTAGATTAGTAGATGAGTGGGGCTGGGGAGGATGAGGTAGATATAGGAACCCATGCCTAATGCTGTCTTTTCTCTGTATAATGACAGCCTGGCTTTGAGATATCATCTCTGCTCATTGCCAGGAGGGTAGAAAGGTGGGCTTCAGTGCTGTCCATCTCTGTGCTCTGCCTGTGTGTGTTATGCTTCTGAGGAAGCTGCACTGTTTTATACAACTACATTCCAGAAAGAAAGACAGAGGCACTTCTTAGTATATATTCCTCTGATTTGTATCTACATGTGTTTATTCTTGCATAATCACACATTGTGAGCAGTTTCAGGCCTATTATTTTTCCACTGAATGTTACATAAATATATATTCTCTATGTTGGTATATGGCTTTCATGGATATTATTGATTACATAAAATTCACATAATACGCCCCATGTTCAATCAATTCATCCTCTACTGGTATTCATTTGAGTTATTTTCAATATTTATAGACAGCATTGCATTGAATATCTATGTAAATGGAACTTACTCTGATATATTCTCATAGAACTAATAGATTTAGGATTCTTGATATCTACTTGCTATTTGTTGGTGGGAGGACTGACTGGACCCACTCACTTAGAGTAGATCCCTTACTCTCATACACTTGTCTGGACACTATCATTTATTTTTATTGTTTTACTTTGATGGGTGAAAGAGGGGTCTCATTGTAGCTTCAATCTGTCTTTCTTTGGTGGTTAAATAAGATGCTGATTTTTCTCAACTGTTCATTTACTGATTCTACTTCTCCTCACTGGAAAAAATAGTTCCCATCAAGTGATCCACATTTGCACCTTTCCCAGTAAGCTTTCTGAATGGTTAACCAGGCTGTCCTCAGCTGGTGGAATGGTTCAAGATCAAATATTTGTGTCCTCCTGCATGTTTCCGCACCTCTAGCCAGTCTTCAACAGTCATATTCTTCCACTTGAAGGCCTCACAGTGGCCTCATATAGACTGTCTTGTAACCCTTCATTGACTGCCTGTAGTCACTTCCCCTGGACTTAGAAGAGCCTTTGGGAATATATCTTGACCAACTGATTAGTCAACACTGACTGCTCACAATTCTCCACAGTCTGCCTCTATCCACTTGCCACCTCTCCCAAGGCAATCTTGGGCTCTGGTTACCTTGTCATTGCTTCCTATTTAGGTATGTTTCTCCCTCTCTCTTGTGCCTTGGTTTATGAGACCTCCTCCAAGAATGCTTCTGTTTACTCTTGGGCCATATCCAACTAAACTAAACTCATCCTCTGAGACCTTGCCTCCTTGGCTAAGCCTTCCTGGATATTTTAAAGCCACTCAGCCTCCTGTGCCTCTGAACATCTGAAGGATTTATAGTCTATAGGGGCTCTTTGAAAGGGCTCCCAATACTCCAACAAATAGTTCCTTTTCCCTACTCAACTTCTGAACAAATTGAGAAAGAAAAACTGAGATGAAAGCCAAATTGTCATCTTCTTTAGTGATGGAGGCTTAGTGAAAGAGGCAGTTTAGAGTGAGGTCAACTGGATATGCAAACTGATGTGAGAATTACCCCTTTTCCACTTCACTCTAGTCTCACATGATCTGGGTGAGAGAGGCCCCACATGTCACAGTCAGTGGAGACCCACACATGGAAGGGAACATGAGGAGTAAGAAATCTGACAGAGCTCCTCACAGACCATACCCCAGGGGAAAATGTTAAATCCTGTCTTGAATTATAATTTAGTCTATCTATGGGTTTTGTCACTCTGGCTACCTTTGAGTTCCTTGAGGCCCAAGGAAGGTACAACTTCTTATTGTCATAGTGCCTTCCAGTAGGTAAAGAAGACTCGCCGTTAGCAAACTCCTTCTTCCCATGTCTACCCACTCCAACTAGATCTGAGATTCTGTTCTGTTTTGAAGACCTCATTTCTCTACTGAGGCATGCCTGAGTGTGCAGGCAGAACCTATAGGAAGAAACAGGGATGTAACCACTATCATTGACTCAGGTCTCAGTCAGGATGGTGATAGGCCCTTTTCTGAGAGCAAGCTTCATGAAGGTACAAGGACTGAGGGGACTATTATCCTTGGTGTCCTTACACTAGGATAGAGGAGACAGCCAAACAAGAGATTGAGATAGCACAGGCATGCTTTGCTCAACTCATAAGAGTTGTGCTAAGAGTCTCTTTAGGGCTTCTAGTAGACTGATTAATGAATTATTTCTCATCCAAGGCAGAGAGGATTAAATATTGTGGGCTGGATGTAGAAGCCCATGGCCAGAGCTAGGTTACAAACTTCACTGCTCTGCTGGCTGCTGCTTTCTAGAGGCATTTTGAAGCCCACCTGGTAATGCCTGGATTCCAGAGCTGTGGGTGCACACACATCATTGTACCACATAGAGTTAGAAAAAGATCTCTCTAAAAATAACCACCGAGGAATATTTAATTTGATAGCAAGACTGTGACTAATCCATGAAACAAAGAGTCTGTGTGACAAGATGCAGTACAATAATGGGGAGAAATTCATGTTTGACCTTTAAGCAAGTGCAAAATGAAACAGATCTATACCTCAGCAGCTGAGGATCCTGTGGGTCAAGGGAGAGTGGCTATGAAGAGGGGATTTGGGGGCTGGGGATTTAGCTCAGTGCTTCCGGTGCCTGTTTCGCAAGCGCAAGGTCCCGAGTTCGATCACCGGTACCAAAAAAAAAAAAAAAAGAGGGGATTTGGGCTGGGGATTTAGCTCAGTGTTTCCACCACCTGCCTCCAAAGCACAAGGACCCAAGTTTGATCCCCAGTACAAAAAAAAGAAAAAGAAAAAGAAAAAAAAAGAGGGGATGAGAACTGATGGAATAAATAGTTCTTGAGGGTACTGCATAATGGAAATAGCTTAGGAAAATCAATACCTTTTGGTGTTAAATAGAGAGAAGAGGCTAGCACTGAGCTAAATGCTGGCTGAGAAGAGGTGGATGCTGCTAGCCCAGCTGGGCAAAAGTGAGCAAACTGGCTCTTTTAGGCTGGCTTGAAGGAGAAGCAGTTCCCACAAATACAATGAGAACCAGAATTTTTGGCAACCAATCTGAGCTGGTAGAGAGGGGAGCAAGGTTCCAAATATTTAATGAACATTTACCCTGTGCTAGGCTCTGTGTTGAGAGTTTTGCAGGTATTATCCTCATACATATTCTTTCTAGAGAAGCTATTATTTTTACTTGACAGAGGAGAAAACTGGGTTTAGAAGTTTAAACCACTTGCCTGGAGTCATCCAGCTTGGAAGTATCTAGAGCTGGATGTGAGTCTACTCCTGACTCCAGAACCCTCAAGCTCGATTTCTCACTGATAGTTCACTCTGAACTTGAAAATCTCCAAGACTGTACATCAACAATGAACCCACTAAGAAAGGAATTAGGAAAACAATCCCATTCATGGTAGCTTCAAAAAATTTAAATACTGGGGCCAGGGATTTTTCTCAGTGGTTCCGCTGCCTGCCTCAAAAGCGCAAGGTCCTGAGTTCCATCCCGGGTACCAAAAAAAAAAAAAAAAAAAAAAAAAAAAAAAAAATTAAATACTTAGGTACTAACTTAACCAAGGAAGTGAAAAATATCTATAAGGAAAACTATAGCACTCTGAAGAAAGATTGAAGAGGACATTAGAAAATGGGCAGATATCCTACATTCCTGGATGGGCAGAATCAATATTGTCAAAATGACCGTATTATCAAAAATAATACTTGGATTTTATGCAATTCCAGTCAAAATACCAACAACATTCTTCACAGAACTAGAAAAAACAATCCTAAAATTTATATGAGGCTATTTATATGGAGCCAAAGCAATCCTGAACAATAAGAGCAAAGCAAGAGGCATTACAATTCCATATTTCAAGTTATACTACAAAGCTATAATCATCAAAAGAGGATAAAAAATAGACATGTACAGCATTGGAAAAGAATAGAAGATACAGAAACAGCCCTTTTCACCTTTAGTCTGATCTTTGACAAAGATACTAAAAACAAATGCTGGAGAAAAGACAGTCTCTTTAACACACGGTGCTGGGAAAATTAGTTATCCATGTGTAAAAGAATGAATCTAGACCCATCCGTCTCATCCTAAGCTAATATAACATCAAAATAGATCAAAGACCTACATATAACAACAGATGCTGAACATGCTGGAAGACAAAATATCTAATTCTTGAAGACAAAGGCATAGGCATAGTTCTTTTTGAACAGAATCCCAAACTATACATGAAATAATATAAGAATAGCATTACCCCAAATTAAAAAAAACTTCTGCATAGCAAAGGAAATAGATTGAAGAGATAACCTACTGAATGGGAAAATAATTTTACCAGCTACTCCTTGAAGAGAAGACTAATATTTTGAATTTATAAAGAACTGAAAAAAAATTAGACCTCAAAAAACAAAAGACCCAATCAAAAATGGGCAATTGAAATGAATAGGCACTTCTTAAAAGAAGTGCAAATGACCAATAAGTACATAAAAAGCTTTTCAGCATCTTTGGCCATTAAAAAACAAAAATCAAAACACTGATATTCCATCTTACTTCAGTAAGAATGGGTATCATCAAAGACTCAAGAAACAACAAATTTTGGTGAGGTTGTGGGGATAAAGGAAACTTCTACATTGTTAATGGGAATGTAAACTAGTAGAACCCCTATGAAAATCAGTATGGAGATTTCTCAGAAAACTAAAAGTAAAAAACTTCAATTTGACCCAGTTATACCCTTTCTGGGTATCTTTCCAAAAGAGTTAAAGTTATCATATTATAATGATTAATGAATACTCATGTTTATAGCAGCACAGTTCACAATAGCTAAATTCTGGAAGTTACCTATACTGTATGCCTATCAACAAATGAATGGATAAAGAAAATGTGGAAAATATACACAATAGAGTACTACTCAGCCATAAGAGGGATAAATATGAGTTATTTGTAGGAAAATTGATGGATCTTGAGATATAATGCTAAGTGAAGTAAATCAGACACAGAAGGTTAAATATCACATGGTTTTTCATATGAGAAAGCCAAAATATAAATAATTTAAACAGCAAAATAAAGATGGCAGGAAACAGGAAGATTTTGAAGATGGGAAGATCTGGGAAAGGAAAAGAGGGGAAAGGGAAAGAAGAGTAAAGATGATCAACATGCAATATGTGAATGTACCAATTCCCAAAAATGAATGTAATTATTATATGTCACAAACATATATTAATAACAAATTTTAAAAAAGAAAAGAAAAAGCCTAAGCCTGGCCTGATAGCCTGGGATCATGGGTGGGAGGCTGAGGACAGGTGTGGTTTCAGTGGGGGCTGTCTAGTGATGAGTTCTCATAGAAAATTGCTGAGATTCCTGGCATGGCAGGTTTCTATATGGGATCATTTCTCTGATTGTTCTATAATTCACGACTGCATATTATAAATTTTGATCCATTGCCTTGGGTTCTAATTGGAGAACATTCTCCATTTCATAGAGTTGCTTTCTTTAGTGGTGACAAGGGGAATACTGTTCCTGCCACTCCCTGGGTAGGGATCCTATGTATTCTGAGTACATCCAACGTATGCTCATATGAGAGTTTGTTAAAGATTTTTTTTCCATTCTCTAATAAATATTTATCAAGAAAGAGATCAACAACGGTCTTTGATTAGATTCAGTGCCAATTGGTGTCTGGCATGCTTGGCATTATTCTGTCCCTGGCCCCTTTGCATGTGCTGGGTTGTAGGTGGCAATCAAGGAATTAAGGCTGCAGCTGAAGCAGTGGTCCCAGAAACCCTCTTAGACACTGGAAAGTGACCTGGGCAGGGAAGTAAATTGTTCTTCCTCTTTGAGCTTGGGAGATGAGGCCTGGAGTTTGAGCACAGATGTGCCATCTTGAAAATAAAAGAAGGATTGGCTCGAGGAGAGATGCTTGGAGTAGTCTTGGGTTAGGCATGGTCCTGGATGTCTCTGCACAGACTTTCTTGGGTGCTCAGAGAATTGGGGAATATCCAGCAGTGCCTCTAAGCCCAGTCCAGGGAGATGGACCTTTTCCTAGGCTGTTCCCTCGAGAAGCCCAGAATATCCTTGAGGGGCCTGGTCTTATTCATGTCTCTTATCTTTGCTTCTGACCCAAGTCCAGCAACGATTGTTGCTCTAATGTCATGTGATCCAGCAAGGCTCTAAGACCAGACTCTGCCTCCAACTCTAGCCACACTTTTCCCACTCTCCAGTTACTTGTCACTCACACAATACATGTTGTTTTCCATTCTTTGGCTACATCAAGGTCCTCCCCTGCCATGTCTACTTCCCTAAATGCTGTTCTCTTTGTCTAGAACACTTTATCTACTTCTTTACCTGGCTGATTTATCCACATTGACAGGTTCCAGCTTATTGTTTTTTTTTTTGTTTGTTTGTTTTTGTTTTTTTTAGTATCAGGGATCAAACTTGGGACCTTGCACTTGTGAGGCAGGTGGCAGCACCACTGAGCTAGATCCCTGGCCTGACAGGTTCCAGTTTAGCTATCATTTCCTCCAGGAAGTCTTCCTTGACTTGCAAACTAGGTCAGGCTTCCTGGCTGGTGCTGTCTTTGTTCTTATGTCTGCAATTAGAGGTTCACTTGGGTAATAATTGGTCCAATGTCTTCCTCACAACTAGATGGTAAACTCTGTGATGGGAAAGACCGTGGACATTTTCTGACCTGAAACTTGCATAATAAGTGAGCAAAACTTTTTGGAGAATAAATGATTCAAATTTCTCACACTTCAGTCACATAACAATTCAAACATGGGGTAGCTGGTGCTGTACCAAACAAACAGGCTTTGTTTTGCAGTTAATGAATTAGTGAAGGCATAGCAATTGATTGCTTTTTATGTGTAGAGAAATTATCTCTGTCCTGATTTTCAATATCTGTGCTATTTTGGGCTGTTTTTCTCTTTTTGGCCTATTTGTATTGCCGCAATAATTTCACCATTTGGCTTCACAGAGGCCCAATAACTATTACAAATAAGGTTCCATAAAATTTACTTCTTGACATTAGAATGTTTTGTTGCTAATTACTCTCTGAGGTTTTTAATTTCAATCCCTCCTAGGTGATTTAGTGCAGAAATTCAAGGGCACAGTTATTTCCCCCAAAGGGAAAGGAGAACTAAGTAATGCCAAGTTTCTATTTGCCCTACCTTCTGGTAGAGCTATCTCAGTTTTGATTCTATCTATTGTACTTTATCCTGGCCAGAAAAGAATAAGTGAACAAAAATCTTACTGGAAAAAAGATATAAATTCTTGGGGAAAAATAAAAGTACTCTTTCACTAATGTAGTCATTTGAACAATATTTATTGAGTACTTATGAGGTGTGATCCAAAAATAAGATGAATGCTTAAATTTTTAAAAAATTAAGTAAAAGACATTACCATGAATCCCTCCTCAAAATACTCCCCCTTGCTTTGAACACAGTTACTCTGTCATTCTTTGAAGCACTTCTGGAAGTTCTCTCTTGTGTCTTTAGTTGTGCTGTTGTGGTTGCCTAGATGTTCTGAATCAGTTCAAAACATTTACTACCTTTCATGGTCATTTTGACTTTCAGGAAGAGCCAGAAGTCATATGGTGCCAGATCTGGTGAATAAGGTAGTTGAAGACATACAGTAATGTTTTTACAAGGCTGCCGTTCTGTTGGCTGGCAGCATTCATTATATTTTTTGTCACACCTTGTAAAGACAGTCAGAAAAGAGGACTGTCAGAACTGCTTCAGAAAGTGGCAAGAACAATAGGATAAATATTTTCAAAATGAGGGGGATTAATGGCAATCTGTCTTTTACTGTAATACTTTAAAAAAGGTTAAAAAATATTCACTGTATATTTTGATCACACCTTGAATTATGCATCAGATTCTGTGTTCTAGGCATGGAAGATGAATAAAAGAATACAACATGTTGCTGTCTCCAGGTAGTTCACAGAGTTGGGTGGGCAAGAAATGTTGAAGATTCTCAGGCATGTCTGGGAGTGAATCTCATGGTGGAACTTGGTAGCAAAAGCCCATCCAGAAGTGTCATATCAGTCTCCAGGGGTTGAAATGAGGGGAACTTTGGTTATTTTTCATTTGAAGACACTGTCTAACTGGAAAGAATGTGAATTTTAATAATATTTTGAATGGGTTGATAAAATAGGAACAGATGGTTAAAGTTTGTCATTTCAGGAAAAATAATGAAATATTGCACAGCTGAATCTGCCTCTCTTTCACACTCTTCCCTATCCCCTCCCCACCGCAGATACACTCAGATGCATGAAAATTTAAAGCAAAATACTAATAATATCTTTTAGCCACTTTAGGTCTCCATACCCAAAAGGACCCTAACTTTTTCAGTCATTTCTATGTTACTGTGTTAGCCTTTTATTCCAATGGTGCATCCTGAGAGGAGCCTTTCTACAGGATATTGCTTTGTGGGGATATAAGAGATGGTGGGGAAGTGAGACTTGCCTGAGTGTCTCTCTGCCATGAAGAAAACTGGCTTTGCTTTATTGACCAGAGCAGATGTACTCTTTGAGGAACTCAGCAGGGTAAGTATGAGTTGGGTAAGATATCCTATCTACCAGCTCCTAGGATTTTTATGAGTAGAAGCTCTAACTGCTGACACGTTCCTGGTCAAGAGAAAGCAGATCCTCACCATTATCACCTGTACTTTCTTGGATTTATTCCAGTTGCACATCTCTGAAGTTTTCCTTTTATTCTGCTTGGACAGCACATTAGATGAGATCAAACGCTGAGAGAGAGACATAAGCACTGCTTTGGCACTGTTGCTAGAAACTCTTGGGAGAATGAGCATTGTGTACCATTTGCCCATTGCTTGCCGACTTCAGTAGCAAGAGTCTTCAGAATGCTCCTGGATAAACATAATCTTTGTGGCCATACATTGTTTTATGAGCTGAGTCTTTAGCTTGGCTGGCTCCTTAAATGCTGCTGTCTGATTCTCCAGGCAGCAGAAAACAAGGAAAGAAGAGCTCACCGAGCTTTGTGGATGGCCAATTTCACTTGCCAAAGGTGATGGGGAATTTACCCTTATGGAATTTGCTTATGACAGAAGAATTGCTGATCAACTTAAATTTCATTTCTGATAGAAAGATGATGCTGTCTGCATTTCTTGTACATTGTTTACAGAATGTGTGTTTGATTATAGGCTATTTTGAATATCCACCAGTCTGAAAGAGTTTCCTGCTGAAAGCATGACTACTTCCTTACTCATCGAGTTTCGTTTATCATTTAAGGTAATGATTAGGCAAACCCAAAAGTAACAGTGACATGTAAGTCAAACTGCAGATTTCTTTGTCTCTTAGATAAATTGCTCTACTATGTTTATCTTTTATATAAGACTCAATAAGACATCTAAATGAATTCTTTTTTTTGATATTGGGGATCAAACCTGGGACCTTGAGCTTGCAAGGCAGGCGGCAGAACCACTGAGCTAAATTCCCGGCCCTATCAATGAATTCTTGATTAAAACCAATGTACCATCAAGGAAATTTACTCAAATTATGTAACTCAAGTTTCTGAATTTGGAGATTTATAATTTGCTGAGGTAAATATCCCAGTTCTCTTTTCCATCCTATTTTATTAAGATCTCAGTAAACATGTAGGCAGATCAATATATACCAGAGTATATATTGAATTTCTGTTAGGTGGCAGGCACTATGTTAGCCTAAAAACTAAAAAACAGTTCTTTCACTGAATAAGGAACATGTTTGTCTATGTGCAATGTGGACATACTCCATTTCTTGGAGGAAAGTGGGAAGAGAAAGTGCTTCAGGAAAGACTTTGATGGAAGAGAAGTATGCTCATTAACAAGGGCAGCTGGGGAAGTCTTCCTGGGGAAAGTGATTCTGAGACAGTCTGAGGATAGTCTATAAGTTCCAAGGGAGGAGAGGACATGGGCTGAGGGATACTGTTGGCAAAGGCTCAGGGAGTACCAGGGAAAGGTATATGCTTGCATTTGGAGTTGGGATGGCCTTGGGGAATTCTGGGAGGCGATAAGCTCAGAAAACAAGAGCTTCAGGGGCTGAGAATCAGGTAAGTAGCACTGAAATAGAAGGACTCGGATGATTCCTTTTTGAAGTCAGATTGAGAGAGCAGGAAAAGGAATGGGGGCACGAGACTATCAACAAGGCAGGTGTTCCTGTGGCAGCAGAAGGAATCCATGCAGTAGGACACAATGATAATGGGTCTAGACAGGAGGCAGCAATAGCAGCACAGTAGGCTCCTGGGGATCCTAAGAAGCAGGCAGTGAAACTGGATGATAGCAAGAACATGAGGAAGAGTGAGTGGACTGAAAGGGGGTCAGTGTGATGAGGGTGTTGATTTTCAGAGGCAAGCTGGAAGTTAGCTCATATGCTGGAGGGGCACGGGTGTGTGCGTGTGCATGTGTGTGTGTGTGTGTGTGTGTGTGTGTGTGTGTGTGTGTGTGTGTAGTGGATTGAGAGCCTAAGGGAAAGCTCAGATCAGATGCTATGGGAACAGGAGTGCAGGTGCAGTTCTGCTGAAGGCCAATTCTCCACTATATGTGCTATGCATTTTTGTTTTATCCCAAGAAAATAGTCTAAGTTTAGTACAAACAGCAAGAGTGTAAGAGTCAAGGACTTATTAAATGTTCCTCTTCTTACCTTGTCCCCTTTCTTTTCATTCACCAGGATGAATGCCCTCCTATCCTGTAGCTGAGGTGTGCAATCATGGTGTGGACAATTTTTTTGGAGGGAGTCTGAAGAAACTGTTATCTAAGATGGATTCATACTGGAAGCAAGAGAGCAAACTGGGAAAAATGGCCTTAGGCTCTGTGATTGTCATTGTGTACATTAGACAAGACAATGAAAGTAGAGGATGAAATAAGACCTTTCTGGTTGTTCAGAAGGCCTGTGTAGCTTGGCCCCACTTACTGGACAGAGCTTCCTGGAGAGAGTTTTTCGAGAATGTGGCTTCATTCCATAGTATTGCTTTATGGTGGCCATTGGGCAGGGGGATCTATCTTCCTGGGAGTTAGTTACATAAATAAAGACATCTCTTTTGTTATGCTCTTGGAATCCCTTACCTTTCTCCCCGCAAAAGATGTATCTGGCTATTGAGAAACTAAACATTCACAGAACAGACATTTTCTGGACAAGACTGGGCAGCCTTTATTGGTGGGTGAAGTAGTCCAGAGATCAAGAGGTGGTAGCAATAATTCAGGTGAGCACTCTCAGGCCTGAGAGAAATTACCAGTTACAAAGGACACTTTGAAGGAGGAATCAGTAAGATCTGGTGATTACCAAGATACTTGTGTATTAGTCTTAATTCCCACTTGACAGCTATGCACCTGTGCTGGGCTGGGTGCTGAGGCGGCTAGAAAGATGACAAGCCTGGTGCTTGCCTACAAACTAATAAGCTGACAGCCCTATTTTTTTGGGGGTGGGGAGCAGATGAAACACAGATGAACACAGAATCCTAGACAAAGGAGGAAAGGATTGCATTTGCTGGGTGCAGCATTAGGGCAGGCTTTCTGGAAGTGAGGTGCTGAGCTGGGCTTTGAAGAGTGGGGGTGTCCAAAAGTGACAGTGAAGGATGACATCAGAGTTTTGACTTGATTGTGCAGGTGAGAGATGGATGAATCTGCTGGAGTTAGAGCTGAGAGAAACATCACATGGTCTAGATGTAGGTGGAAAGTGGTCCTGTAATTGCTGTTTTTTGACGAAGTGGTTGACTGGGTGGTCCGTCACAAGATGACTCTTGTAGTAGTGTCAGAATGAATCCATTCTTAGGGAGGACAAGGAGGAGGAAAGTTTTTGGGAGGGAGCCAGAGCTTAGGAGAGCATGGAAGGCAGAGACTCAGGAGCAGCAGAGGTAGTGCCCTGTAGAGAAACTCCTGGAGCTCACTAAGGAAGTGTTTTTTTTTTTTTTTTTTTAATAGGAATGCTGCTGTGATTGTTCAAGTCCTAGATATTCATCACACTGGCCAACCTAACAAGAAACCAGGAGGTGCCAGGGGCCACGGCCTAGGTGGCGTCATGGGGATCTGGGAGTGTGTGCACCCCACTCAGTTTGCAAGTGGCAACCCTGCTCTGTGGGGTGGCAAGGATTAGGATATCTTTCAGAGTATAGGGCCATGACAGCACTGTGGCTGGCACCAGGATGAGTTGGAAAACGGTGTTGTCCCCTCCTTTTCTGGATAGCCCCTCTCTGACCACAGGGCCACTGGCCACCTCGGTGCGCCAGGCAGGAGGAAGCAGAAGCCAATGGAGGTTCTCTAGGCCTTCCACCTAACGGACCTTGCCCCCTCCCGCGGGGTGGGTAGAGGGGCTGTCCTGCCCAGGCCAGGCAGTCCACTCTCCTCTCGCGGATTTCTCTTGGCTGGCGCGCGGCGGCAGCGCGTGGATTCGCGCGCGGGCTCGGGGTAGGGGGCGCGAGCCCTCCCGCGCCAGAGAGCGGCGCATGCGCGGGCGTCCTGCGAGCCAGCTAAGGCGAGCCGCGCCGCGGCAGCGGCTGGAGCCCGGCGGCTGGAGCCCAGCGTCTGAGCTGTGCGGAGCCAAGTGGAGGCGCGGGAGCGGTGGTGGAGGACAGGTGGTGAGCCCTCGCCTACGCTGCCAGGAGCTCCAGGGTTGTTCGCGAAGCCTTGAGGTCCAGACGTGGCGGCGGTGGCGGGGGCATCCCGGACGCCCTGCGAGGGATGCGCCGCCCACTGCCCTACGCCGCCTGACCGCCCCCGCCTCGTCTCGCGGTGCGCCACAACTGGGCCCGTGGCTGCTCCCGCCGCGCTGTCGCCCAGCCGCCGTGCCCGCGTGATCGCGCCCGGCCCGGCCATGTGGACCCCCACGGAGGAGGAGAAATACGGCGTAGGTAGGTGAGGCTCCCGCCTGGCAGCGGCTGGGGATCGGGGCGGCTGGGGGGGACGCGCCAGACTCCCGGCCCGTGCTAGATTCGTGTTCTTTCGCGTCCGCCGCGGCCAGGAGGCTGTGCGGCCTCCGCGCAGAGCGAACGCGGGGCGGTGCAGGCGGGGGTGGGGGCGCGGTAGGCGCGGGTCCCCGCTCCGGGAGGGCGGCAGGGGGCGCTGGCTGCGCGGCCTCGGCAGGTGGGGGCCTCGGCAGGTGCGGCCCGCGGCAGGGAAGAGGCGGGCCCGGCTCCGCAGTTGCTCGAGGTTCCTGGTGTGGGGCGCAAGGCAGTTTACCCATGAAGCTTAATATGAGGATCTGCGTTCTTGGCTCCCAAAGCTCGATTTTAATGAGTTCCCGTACCTCAGTTGATGAGCCTAGTGACTGTTTATTTTCGGACTAGAATCTTAAAAAAAAAGAAACGTTGACATCATTTTCTTAGTTGTTCAAAATTTTGCAGTCAAATGTTTGATCCATTTTGTTTTACACTCAGTGTTATAAACAGTCATCTTACAGTGGGAAGTGTTTTGGACATGTAACGATGTTTAGTTATTTTATAGACATGGTTTTGCTTTTTAAAAAATTTGTTTTCAGGTGGGAACATTATTTGTCTCAGAATCTATTGTGTGAAACTCCAGAGTTGAATAATTCTTTTAACATTCTGTTTCCTTAAAAAAGATAACTTAAGGGATTGTTTTACAATATTAGCATTGTTTTGGCGGTTACATGACAGATTTCAGTCATATTGCATTATTGTAAATCATCTATCATCGTGTTCAGCTAGAAACATTTGAAATGTGGAACATACAGGTTTTTTTTAAAGTATGTAATGGAAAATTCTAGATGGGAAATCTATCTAGACATAGATTTTTGTTTCCATTTTTACTGCAGTTGAATTAAGGCTTAGTTCACAATTTATTATAAAGTAACTTTTGAAATACAAATGTTTTGAAATAAGGTGAGTCTGTCATGTAAAAATTGAATTTATTCAAATTTAAGGACCTGCAGAGATGTCTTCTGTGCTGGTAGAAAATCCTGTTTTGAAAGATAATTTTTGGAAGTTTTCAATCGGCTATACAGGATGGAAGTGATAAAAGGAGCGCTAGTCCTAAGAGTCTCTGTTGAAAAGAAATTGGGAAAATAATGTCAAGATTTCACTACTTGGAACATTTTACCTTTTCTTTTAGAGCATTATGTGAATACTAAGTTTTCTACTGTTGTGAAATGAGAAATTGATGGTCAGTCTTCTCCCATACTTGCTCTCAGAACTGCTTAACTAAAATAGTGGTCAGCTGTTTGATAGTGCCTGATTAATTTCTTTCCCTTCTGGGGAGGAACTATCAGGTAGAGGAAATTATGGATTTCAGGGTCCTGGCTTCTGTTTAGTAGTCCTGTGGGCAAGTTATTTAACATCATTTCCTTCATATGTAAATTGGGGATAGTGTTTACTTATTTTATAGGGTTATGAAAATCAAATGAAAGCATAGTGAGTACTTAATAAATGTTAATTTCTTCTTTCCCCTTTCGTACTTAAATAATGCTAGGTATGTGCTGAGGTGGCAATGCAAGACAATCAGGATAGGTTTACATGAATCTCAAAGCACTAGGATTTGGTGTGTGATTTATTCAACAAGATGGAATGAAATTCTTGCATTCATAGGACTTATGTGCTTAGCTTTAGAAAAATTGTTTTTCCCTGTGGAGGGTCACATCATTGGGCACAGGGCAGGACTTAAATCCCCGTTAAACGAGAGATAATTATTCTGAAGACATTTCCTTAGCAGCTGTGGTTTGGTATAATTTAGATGACTTTTCTGCTAAATAAGGCAAGTCACTCTCTAATTCTCTCGTGGCTGTCTTCTACTGTCCCTACCTTATTTATGGTCTAAAAGTTTTTTTGTTTTTTGGTACTGGGGATCGAACTCAGGTCCTTGCGCTTGCGAGGTTGTAAAAGTTTTTGTAATAATTGTTTAAAACTTAGGACACATTTTTTTTCCCCTATAAGCATGTTAGGGCTACAATTCTACCCCCCCCCATCCAGTTCCATCTGTAAGGTAGCTTCAATATTATATTTATAATGAGAAAACTCATCAATTAAAATGGTAATTTAGTTGCATTGCTTAATTACTGTGAGGACCAGCTTGGAAATTTAACCATTATCATTATTCCTATGAGAAAATGTTTTGAGTTCAGCTTTGATTTTTATGACTAACTTGGAACATAGATTTCTATTTCTTCTTGCCAACCTAAAATCCTACAGCAAGGAGAGAAAACTTACACTCATTTTCCACCAATTTAGAGGAGTGTTGAGAGGACCTCCATTTGTCTTAATGTGGTGAAGGAAAGAGTCCCTTGTTGCAGCATTGGGAAGGTTTTTTCCCCCTCTACTGCAGCTGTTCAACTATATTTGACATGGTAAGGATTTTGAGATCCCATAATAATTTTTAAAAAAAATTTTATTGGTACATTTTTTTGGTACATTTTAGTTGTACAATTCATTTACATTTATCATTGGCTGTTTGTACCTGTACATGATATATATTGGTTCTTATTTTTTTCCCCATTACCTGTGCGCCTTTCACCCCCTCTGCCCTTACCTATTTACATAGATTTCATTTCCATTTTTTTTCTTTTCTCATAGTTTTTCCTTTCCCTCTTTTTCTTTCCCCTTCCCCTCCCTTCACTCCTTCGTCTTTGGACCTTTTCTCCTATTTCAAATTATCAATTATTCATTTCAATCATTTTAACCCTTGTTTACACTATCAGTTTCTCATACTAGTGAAACTATTTGGTATTTACACGTGTGTCTTATTTATTTCACTTAAGAGTATGGCCTCAATATGCATCCATTTAGCTATAAATGACTCTAGTTTTTCATTCTTTATGGCTGAGTAGTACTCCATTTTATAAAAAAACCATATTTTCTTTATCTAGTTTCCAGTTGATGGGCACTTGGGCTGCTTCCAAGCTTTAGATGTTCTAACTGTGCTGCTATGAACATGGGTGCACATGTATCACTGTGGTATGATTCTTTTAATTCTTTGGGGAAGATACCCAGGAGGGGAATAGCTGGGTCATATGGGACCTCTAGTCCTAGTTCTTTGAGGTGAGAACCCGTAATAATCTTACTGCTTTTAATTATTTTTGTAATTAGGAATTCTGAACAGG